TGTCAAAGCTAAGGATTTAAACCCAATTATCACTGCTAATACTCACTACAAAAAAGGAGCAGCAGTAGCTATTCATACCTAATGTGTTGGAATGTTTTTCCCCCATAATATTTTTTCATTTTTCAAATTAATTGTTGGGAACAGCTTGGGTGAGAGGGACAAAGTTTTGTTTTCTTGGAAATAAATCCCAAATCTTAGATCTCTTTTCTCCCCGTGTCCTTCTGTACATGTGAACAAGCAGCRAAACAGTGTGGTCTCTGCTTTCTAGTAAGAATAAACAATTTAAAGGAGCTGGCTGTGATACTCCGGTTTGTTTTTAACTCTGTGATAATGCCTTGGTAACAGCTGTCTGTAAGCTCCTATCGCATTTAAACATCTATGGAAATTCCAGAGATATTTAATTTGCTCCTTGGTATATAAAAGCTGTTCCTGCTGAGCATAATGTGTTGAATATAATCTCACTCAATTACTAGAAGCACATCATAAAAATTGTTGAAACATGGTAAGGGAAATGTAACATACTCAATCAGTTGATTTACTTCCTTTGTCTTGTATATTTAGCTGTTTTCAATTGCAAGTGCAGTCTGAGAAGGGGAGTGGGTTGTGATTATTTGTAATTTTACATATTTATGTATTTTTAAAGCTGCTTTTTGTTGTCTTTATTTCTGCAATGTTCCATATATTTTAGCACAGTGGGATACAATTGCAGTCTCTTCCAGTTGCAAAACCCCTAAGAGCTATTGAAGCGTTGCTTTAATGAAAATGATCCTTTTCCACTTTTGAGCTGACGTGCTTTGTTACAGAAGCTCTGGATATGAGATCTTGGCACTTGAAGTGAGTGACATTCCAAAGAATTTCTCCTTCCTTTAAAATTTGGCTTTAAAATTTTGTCTCTCTTTTTGACTGTTTAAGTATATTCCCACAGCACAGTCTCTAGTGTGAGGCTAGTAATCTGATGCTAAAAGATAATTTCTAATGTGAAAAGGTACCTGCTGTGTACGTAAATGCCAGGACTTCAGTGGGATATCAAGGATGTGGGATGAGCCAAAGAGGACAGCAAGTCCTGACAGGACAACAGCTGAGGAAAACTTAAGCTTTGGGGGCAGCAGGACAGAGCAAGAACTTTCTGTCAAGGGAAGCAACTTGTTCTAAGAGAGGAGGAATCCCCCAAGCTCTTGCTCCTGCCCATGCTCTGTGGKAGGACCGGGACACCTCCTGTGTTTTACTGACACCTTCTCCAGGAGTGGGTGGRTGGGGACAAAGCTTCCAGCATAAGCAAAGACATCAGCAGAAAACAGCAGCTGTTTCTTGGTGGGGTTTTTTTCCTTGGTTTTGTGGGAATGTTTAATGCAGTTGTCAAAAATACTCCCTTTTACTAATTGGACAGTTGAAATTCCAGCTCAGAGTCTTCAGTGTTTTGGGAACATTGGCAATGATGCCCCTCTAAACAACAGGTGACAAAGGGACTTGAAAGAATGTTTAGAAAATTTAAACCATTCTGGGCAAACTGTCCAAATCCTTCAGTCTGGAAGAAAAAAACCAAAGAAATCTCTTTTCTCTGTGAATTGTTGGTCCTGCCTTTTTGTACAGAGCAAGTTAAGCTGCGTTTGCCTCAGCTGGGGAGGTGGACCTACTACAAGAGCCATGTGGGACAGTATTTTATCTGTGGAAGTCAGAATGCTGCTTTCATTCTGTTCAGTTGTAGTTTGGTATTCTCAGCTTTCCTGGAGCAGTGGAAAGGTTATGTTTATTTCTTAGCAGTCTCTGTTCAGTATCCCACACTTCCCTCTCAAATATCTGGTATTAGCAACTGCTGGAAACGTGATGCAGACAAAATGGAACATAGATTGCTTTATGCAGTGACCTTAGCGGTGGTTTTTTTTGTGGTGTTGTTTGGTTTCTTGGGGCCCCTTGCCCCTGCCTCTAAATCCATCCTTTGGGTTAAATACACTCAGCTCATTTTAACCTTGTACAGACTGTGGGGTTCTGCTATCTGGGGATTTCCTGCAGAGCAAAAGGAAGCCAYGAATTTTGGAGCTATTGAAATCCTTGGGAGCTCAAATCTCTACAGCTATTCCAGACAGCCTTTGAAACACTAAAGCAAGTTTTATTACCGAGATTAGTTTACGTTACACTCATTTATTAAAACCTAAGGACATCTTTATAAAAACTACTGTATATAAAGACAAGAGCAGTGCAATAGCAGTGTAAAACACATTTTTGGTTTACTTGGCAATCACTTTAGAAAGACAACATGATTAATAATATGAAGTCAGAAAATGCTGCAGAAAATAGGACAGGATTAGACCAGAAACTAGATTAGCAAATCACTGGACACTGGCACATATTGATTTCAAACATCAAGTGTTATGTAAACAGTATAATTGTCAATGTATCAATAAAGAGAAATCACTGCAACCCTAGAATTGCTAGTTAGCTTAATTAGCCTAAAATAGTCTGCTGACTATTAAAATAGACTATTGCACTGTATATCTATTATCTTCTGAGTAATTTACTACTTTTGTAAAAGGAGGACTAGAAGAAATGCCTGTCTTACAGATGAGAACTTTTGAGGCTGAGATGTTTCTTCCTGGCGAGTAGTTGAGGTTTTGTTTTTGTTGCTTTATTTTTCATAYACAATCACAGGAGGTGGAATAGAACTGATTTTAAAAAATCATTTTGATGTGTTTCTTCACTGCTTCTTCAAGTGGACAGTCCTCACTCAGAAATTACAGCCATAGTAAAACTACAAAAAACAGGTGTCTAAAATAGCTGCTACAATATGCTGAAGATTACATTAAGAGGCCAGATTATTGTCACTCTGTTTTTTTTTTAAATTGATAACCAGGCACAAAAGATGGTTAATTACAACACCAAGTCCTGCACAAGCTTTGTAACTTTTTTTTTTTTATGTCCTACGTTATACACAGCAATTACTAAGAAATTGGACACAGCTCTCAGTGAAACAGAAGAGAGGAAATTGGTTGGACAAGGGAGGAGGCTTCTGGAGCAGGAGGTCACTAACAGCCACTGAGACAGACAGCTGCCATTGTCACATAGGGGGTATAATGTATGCACTTTTGTAAATGTTAACTTTAGACCCCTTATTTTTCCAACCATATCAAGATGGATGTAGAGGAAAATAAAACCTTTTTAGTCCAGATCATTTCTTTTACAGAAAGATTGTGTTTGAACCAGTGTCTTTCCCCAGAAAAAAAAAAAAGAAAAATTCATTGCAGTTTATCTGGTTCACCATAATTTTGTCAGAGCACAGCTACAGAGGTGGCTGAGATGTTCAGGTGACTGCTTGAGTAGCCAGTGCTCTTCTCCAGTGTCCCAACACCAAGGGAAAAGGGCTGATAGAAATGGTGGCAGGGAAACATGAAATGCACTATTTCCTTTTAATTTAAGGCCCAACTAGCATTAGTCTCATTCAGGATCTTATATTCTGCTAAAATAGAGAGACTGTAACAACACAGTTGGTGAAAAGTTGGTCACCAGCTAMGACATGGATTTATCCATAAATTAATTGGTAGGCAGAATCAGAATTTCAGCCAGAGTATCTACCTTATATTAATTGTCTCTGTATAGAGAATAAAAGAAAACAAACAAACAAAAATCACATCCATTACAAGGTATACGTGTACTAGAAGTAAAGCATAAAACTGCTCATTAATAACACACAGTTCCCAAAGGGAAAAAAAACCCTTACAAAATACAGTAAGTCACACAAACCAGTATCTAATACAAATTCCTTTATGAACATAAGCTTTTTCCAAAGCTCTCTGTGGCAGTCATCACCTCAGAAGTAAGTGCTGGCAGAAGGTAAAAGGACCAAGCAGTTACTGCAGAGCGCCAAAGTAAGACTGCTTACTGTGGGTACCTTTTTGGGTGTCTRCAGGAGTTATGGATCTTAGAGCCAAAAAGGAAGTGTGGGGAAGGCATGATGTTGGTATGGGTGGCAACATCACCAGCTGCTCCGTTTCCTCTGCTTTTCTTGGGAGCTCTTCATAGGACTGCCTCACATCTCATCTCTCCCACCACCCRGAGCTCAGAGCCTGTCCCTGTCAAAGCTCTCCTCCTMGAGGCAAGGGCAGCCTGGACTGTGCCAGTGTCTGCAAGCTACTTACAGCATGTCCTTGCTGGGGGGCCTTTCTGCCCCCAGCTGAAGGGCTTTGAACAATTCTGAAATGCTGATGATACATTTTTTTTGGAAAACAAAGAGAATCTCTTAGGTTTGGTGTGAATCTAAAAAAGACTGACTCAGTTTTATTTGAGGTGCTATGTTACAAGGTGTAACACCCCACCTGCACTGTGGCAGCTCCCTCAGGTCTCTGCAAGCTGGGGGTGTGTGCAGGAGCTTCTGTGAGTGAGAATGGGCCAGGCTTCAAGCTTTCCTGGGATAGGATGGAGTTTAATGCCTGCAGGGTGGCACTTCCACGTGTGAATTTGTTCTTTTAGGTAGTGCTTGCCCTTACTCAGTGATACCCAGCATGTTTAGTTATTGGTTTACAAAGAAAAGGGGCATGACCATATTGATATCCTACCCAGACTGAGACTTCTTTGAAAACTGGGCTTCCAGTCCTGTTCTTTCCAGCCTTGCTGGGTCCTCCAACACTATTTATTCCTGCATGGTTTTAGTCATGTACCATCCTGAACTCCAGTAGCCATGAACTAAATCACCGAGAAGAGTGTCCCTTTGGATTTCAACAGAAGAGTAAAGCTCATTGAGCCAAAGAGGTACAAAAGGAACATTTGAACTCATAAACAAGGTGTTCCTTGTGTTGTGGTGACATGGTAAAATGTATGGTTATTTCAAAGTTACTCAGATTTGTCAGAGAAAATGTAAGACATGAAGGATTGAATTGGCATCATCATGACTTTGTACTATGATTTCCAGATGAATTCCTCTGTTTGGTTGCCATTGCCAGGTTCTCTATATAATTATATATTTTAAATAATCGAAATTCACAGGATTTGGTCATGTATCTGATACCATACGATATTAAAACAACCCTGTCATGTGGAAAGTTAAGTCAACCTATTGCAACCAAGTGACCGAGTGCTCCACATACTTCTGTGGCAGAGCCATTGCCTTTCTGGACCCATTACAATTGGGTTCTGAGACTTTTGTGGGGTAAACTCTGAAGCCAGTCAGTGGCTGGGAGAATTGGACTATTGCCTTTTAAAGCAGAGGGACAATGGTATTATTGCTTTTGAAATATATGGTTCATTGATTTTTTCTGTTTCTCTTTTGACTTCAAGGATCGTGGGAGTGGCATAGTGTTGCATCCTAACAAGGTTGCCCACTCTTCAAGAGGGAGTGGGAACCTGAATTTAKGATGTGCTCAGATGTTTGATGTCTTTGCAAAATCATTGCCAGTGATCTAAAAACGTGCATTACGGTTGAAGTAATTGCTACCCTGCAGTCTGACTCARTGAAAGGGCTCTGCTTCCCTTGCAATGCATAGGACAATATGGTTAACAGTGATGTGGACTGCCAGCATCTACCMTATGGTGACAAAATGTTCACCAGAGAACTTTGGAAAAACCCACATTCAGGATTCTGACACTTAGATTAGGCTCAAATGGCAATTGATGGATGGGGAGGCAAAGAAAGGTTATCTACCAAAGGTTTGTCTTGTGGCTGTTTTTCCACTTTTGTGTGGATTTGCCAGAGCAACTTAATTTTCTTCCTGTTGAGCATTTTCTCAAATATGATGCTTCTTTTCAGAGATATTATTGTCTGTCTGGAATTAAAATATTGCTTACAGACTACTTCCTCCTGGAGACTCTTTCTGTATCATTCACCCATACGTAYTATTTGAATGGTGTCTCTCTTCAGGTGACTTGCTCAATCTCCCTCCTGCAGTCTTCCTCTCTCCTATTTATCCATAATTTTTTCAGCTCTTGTAATTTAGTTGATTTTCTTGAAAGCTGCTCCTTGAAGTCTGGTCTTAGCTCTCCCATCTTTAGGCACATCAATATAATTTTCTGCAAGACATAAAGCACAAATGTTTCCATGATGTTTCATGAGCACCCAACATCAAAGTATTTCCTATAAAGAAACATTTCTAGTATAGTCATTGGTGGATTTAATTTGTGGAGGCAAGAAAGAGGAAGAAAAAGCATGAGAAGGAAAGAGGAGGTGTTAAGAGGCCTCTGCCTTCTCT